AGTTAAGTACGAAAAGGCCTGAAAGAAAATCTAAAATCTAGACCCCGCGTCAAGTTATGGCTACTATGCTAATAAATAAGGCTGACTGTACATACCTCCAACAGGTTTTGGAACGGTCGCGAATTCGTGACATGGCCAACTTGTACACAAGTAATTAAGTACCACTAGTGAACTAGACTATAAATAAATAATTGCTCTGGTTATACCAGTATCAAATAAAAAGTACTGTTTGCAATATTGTTGATAGGTGCTCGGGCGAGACGCGCTTCGCAGACGGCAAAATCGATATAGCACGGTGTTGCCATTAAAATTAAAAGTTTCGCAATATGGCAAGGGTTGGGGTTGTAAGGTTTATAAAACGAGAGGCAATAGTAATGCTGTTTGATGAATAAAGAAAACAAGAAATGTTTTTATTGGACTTCATATTATTTTAACTTTGGACTCAGGTGGCTACAGACTGCCTATGAGGCGTTTAAGCAGTCGGCTAGCTGTAGATCCTGGCTACACAGGAATTGCAGCGGTACAAAATAGAGACAGGTGGGATTCGACTATTGATTGACACGTACACATGCGAATTGCTCGGGCTCATCATGAAAGTGAATAGTGGAGACCAGAATAAAAACCAGAATACTGACTCTGTAAAACTCGCCCATACCCTTTGTTGACTCTATAGACCAGTATTTCCCAAAATGGGCGATAACGCCCCCTTGTGGGCGCTGCAGGCTTAAAGGGGGGCAGTAAGAGACCCAGAAAAAAAAATCGGGACGTTGTGTAGAGGCTTAGGAGGCGTTATCTACTAGGAGGACTCTTAGACACCGACTGAGCTCGACTCTTGACTACAAAAATGGGGGGCGCTGAAAAATAATTTATTCTCAAAGTGGGCAGTAGACTAAATAAGTTTGGGAACCGCTGCTATAGACTGTATTCTTATCTAGATTCCCTTCTGCACCAAAAACTTAAGAACGAACCACAGGAATAGAGTTCAAAATCGAGTGGCAATTCGTAAATTAAACGCATCGCCTTATACGTTATCATAACCTGTCCCTAACAGGAACAATGGGGGCATTGATGCGCATGCAGTTCTATGATGCACCTGCCGCTACGTATAGACTATGCATTGAGAGTGTACCCTGTATACCACGCCTTATAAGGTATAGCTGGGTATTACAGCTAAATGGCTGATCATGGTCGGTGAAGGAAAATAGACCTTAAAACTGCGTTTCAAAGATTCTGGCCTCAAAAAGATGAGAAGATAAATACGACTAGTCGCTAACAAGTAACCTTGGTGGTTGAATGGCATTTTCATAAGAATTTGAACACTATAATAAAAAAATAAATAAATAAATAAATAAATAAATAAAAATAGCTATGGAACTTAAAAACTAATAAGAATACAGAACAATGGATTGACATGTGGAAAATGTTTGACCCTAAATAACATAAGAACAAAAAAACAGTAATAAACAATTGAAAATTGGCTAGCAACATTTAGACAGGTTAGGGATCAGTAAAATCACCTTTACTGAAGAAACGGAACTGAGAAAGAATAATGATGATTTTTTTACTGACAAGTGGTTTCTGGAAAACTAAAGAATTGTAGGTACCTACATAAAATACAATAGGTACACTTGCACACAAAACATACAATTATTATCATAGTGATATTAGTGAAATGTAACTTAATTTTAATGCAAATACTTTAAAAATGTCAGTAATATAAGGTAGTTAAATTCTGTAGTTCACCATAAACATCTTGGTTAGACAGGAACAAAAACAGACCACTGAGTCTTTCGAGTAAATTATAACCACATAAGCTGTTTAGAATTTGATTATGTACAAATTCAAGGACAATAATGTGATTTGATCTGCTTCTGATAAGGTAAGATAAAACACAAGTAATCATTCCTTGTCTTTACAAAAATCAAAAATTAATGCATACTTCAAAAAACAAAATATGGTCTGGGTTTATTGTTTTTAAACACACAAAGCTGAAATACCAACATAGATAACTAAAACATTTACCATTGTTTGTCAGCGTAGATTAAAAAACAATAGTAACAAGATTTTTATCACATTTATAAATATAGCATCGAGTACATGTAGTGGAATGAAAAATGATAATGATCCTCACTTATTGTTTGTACCACCATAATTTGTCATTGAAAATGAAGGTTCCAGTTTAAATTTTCACAAGTTGAAACCAATTCTAAAGTAAATGTAAATGGAGCCACTTAAGTCAAACCTTAACAATGTCATGCCCAGTCAGTTTGCTAGTCAATTTTCAACACTTTTTCACACTTCTCAGCGGCGACACACAAACAAGGACAGCAAATATCTTGCTCGTCTACATGTTCGTATGACATGTGACTGTGAAAGGATCTTTTTCAAGAATGAGGTTATGAAAACATGAATTTCACTTTTTTGGTTGTTCGTCAATCAATTTGAAACTATAATAAACACCCAAGAGGCGTGAATAATAGATATTATGGCGATATGTGCCATTATAGTCTCCTTTTTGTCACATAGAAGGATGTTTGTTAATATTAACTCTATAATTTATGCTAAAAAGTTAGGTTTGAAGCAAAAAAAGCAAAGCAATAACATTAAATAACTAGAGCAATTATTTAGAGATTTAAATGCCATCTGATAACTCAAAATTTTGCAAATTTTTCTGTTTCTACTACATAAGACACCAGTGTTGTGTCGATGAACCATGTATCTCCTTCTTGAAGACAAAAAATAAATTTTGTTCCTTACCATTCATCTACTACACCGTAAACAACACCTGTGTTATTGTGTGCATGGCACAAGTGTTATTGACTTACTATCAACGTATCAACTAATACTCCCAGTTTTTGTCCCAAATTCCCAAATTGGTTAACCCCTCAAGCTGCGAATCGAGACAATATAATATTATGCAGTCTTATGCAACTGCTTGGGGTTTAATGGGTTATTTCTAATATATGACTGATCTGTTTGTTGATATAAGTGGCTATTTAGGAACAGACTTGATTACACATAATAAAACTAATAATAACTTAGGGACGTCACTAGTTTGGTGATAATCTCAAACTCTGTGCAGGATTTGTCAAACTGGATGCAGTCTGTGGTCAAGTCAAAGTGAATGCAGCCTGCAGGATATATATTATTTATTACTTTAGCCTGACTGCAGACACATCCACTGTGGCAAATCCTTGAATGTTTCATTTCAAAAGGTCAAAATAACTGAATTAAAAGTTATCAATAAGAGTTTGCATTTGTTGCTTATTCATCATGGGTAATGCTGGAAAATAACAATTTTAGCTGAAAACAAAGAAACTGCTTGCTATTATAAAATCATACTGCCTTTAGACATAACTGCCTAAACATTAAATAATGCCCAATATTATCCAATAAACCCATTTAGTACCCTTCACCCCAACTCTTTAATGAAAACAATGGAAATCACAGCAATTTTATAAGTTCATCAAAACGTTTTTATGACGACAATAACTATGTAAACTTCCTTTTCTAATAGTCATGTACAAAACCCTTCAGTCACATAGCCCATGAATCTGTCAATAAGGATGTCTCAGCGATAGTAAGTATATGAGGAAATTTGCTCCTTCAACAACAATATTCCCTGCTCAATAGATGATTCCTTTGTTAGTCATCAATTTCGATTCACTTTGTTCTTGAATATTGTAAAAACGTTAAAAAGGAAATATATTTTTCTACTTGTGCATACTATTATATTGCAGCTTAAACAATTTGGCAATGCCTTCTAAGCCAAGATTTTTTTAAGCAAATCATCACTGACCCACCACAGATTTTTTACCAAGATTATGAATAAGATGGACAGATATTAATTTAGTTACTTGTGGTGCAGCAAGCTCTGTGGTAATCTTTTCAAAGACTGGCTTAAAAGGGCTTGCACCCAGAGCCGTAAAAACTATATTAAAAATGTGGTAATCTTGTAAATGTAGTGCAGGAACTTTAAGAGGTGCACTACATAGTGCATTTACTAATGCTTGAAATGATCAATATTTCAGTTTATGAGCATTAAAGGTTAAAGTATCAGGTGTTCTTACTCAGTCCCTCATTGGTCAACCCTCAAGATAAATTCATTGGGAGTTTGCTCTCATGATCTTACTGTCAGATACAAAGGTGTGACAATAGAAAATACCAAGTTCCAGAATTTGAAATATCAGTTTCAATAGCTTTTCAAGTGCTGATTGAATAGATGCTGTTGGTGGTGTAGTTGGGAGTACACTGATATCAGCAAAGATGTCTGATTTTCTATTTGATTCCTTTTCCATACTGCTGATAGAATCCTGCAGTGTTCTTCATCACAATGTAGCAATCATGGATCTAGGACAATTACCTTCATTTATGTAAGCAAATAGGTAAATTTCGATTGACAGACGACCGACAGATAGGACATAAAATACGCACGACTGTAGTGAGCAATTATCACTAATTAGCATTATCAGTAAAATATCGTGGCATCTGCGCGACATTACCGTCGAAAATGTATTTTATCACCCACAAAACCACACTTTTCACTCAAAAACACTTTCAAAAGTAGCACTTGGACACTAATAAATCGTAAAAAGCGGTTAATATAGGCGAATCGATGTCCTTCTAACTAGCAACAGGGCTGTGCCTCCTCTATGAGTACATGTACATACCTATAACTGCCCGCCGTGTAACTCCTATTTTCTGCTGTTTCACAAAACTATTCAGACAATTTATGCACAGAAACTCACTTTTATAAGCCAATCGCTTAATCAATCACTCCTACAGTGGAATATTCAATGTCCATCTAGCTCAACTGGGTGTTTCACGGTACGCCTATCCACCGGCGACAGAGCGCATACACCCATTTCAATTCACAACCTAAGCTCAAAAACCACTTACTAAACACTCATGATATCTTTACACATAAGGTACAATGTAATTCACATTAGATAAAAGCCTGAACAATGACTAGGATAGCTAAAATTATACTAGAACTTTACCCTTCTGTCAGCAATGTCTCGTAGATCGACCCTCCAGCGGTTATCGGGCGCTTCCTATACCACCATTAAAACTGGATTATCACTTTTTGGCACATTTTGTATCTTATTAACGACACCCCACTGAATTAAGAATTATTCACAAGTTTTTATCACGAAATCATCCACCATTAGCTTTTCATACACCCTCGAGCTCGGTCCTTTTCACGGCCATTTGCAAATTGCGTCAAAGTTCCTGGAACGTGATTGGTGTATTCTGCGCTAGTCTCGGTTGGATTTTATTGCGACATCTGGTGGCTGCAATAGAAACTAAAGTTTTTGGTTTTCAAAAATAAGCTCTGTTCCATTGCATTAAAGTGTACAAGTGTTTCCATTCAATGGTTTGTACGTCTTTTTCGAATAGGCTCAAAAGGGTGCGGTAAGGATCTTTTGAGAACCCCGCAATGTGACGTCAAACTGGGCGTGAGAATCAAAGCGCGCGTAATTCAACTGTAAACTTTATTGATAAAATAAAGTAGGTTTTCTCATCTAAATGTGAGTTTTGTTGAAAGTTTTGTTAAACTATTTGATAATAATAACAAAACATGATTTGTATTATTATTTGAATGACTTTATAATATTTGTACTACTAGTAGGACTTTGGGCTACATTATCATGGATATCGTTTTATTGTTTGGGCATTGGAAGGAAGAAATTGAAGATTGTATCTTAAAATTAAATTGTATCTAGATTGAGAATGGGCCGGCGTAAAAAGGAAATTTTCTTTGTTATTAATTTCTAAAATCTATTATGTGATTCCAATAGGCGACGGGGGTCCAACCAGCGACTTTCGCATCTCGATTAAAAAGTTCGATGCTGATACGTTGCTTTTGGCTCTGTCTTGTCGTCTTTTATTTAGATACTTCTCTATCTGCAATCTGTATGCTCCGTCTGTAAAACCTCAGGTAGAGTTGAAGCAAGACCACGTTTTATGAATGGAAATGATAAAAAGGAAAGTTTGATTTCTAGGCACACTATGCATAATCCTCAATTATAATCATCCAGCACACAATATACGAATAACGTAAAATTTCTTTAGAAATTCCTCATTGATTTATTTTTTCAAAAACTATTATTTTAATCTTTGGATACCACTGCAATCATTCGATATGCGTTAACTCTAACGCGTTTGAGCTCAATGAAGCTCATTGAATAATGTTTTCTTGAACGCATCCAACTTAAAAAATCAATATTTTTTTTACACTTGGCAACTTCATCAAACGCTGCCTTTGTTTTGATTGGCTGTTTTGCAGTTCCGCGCCTAGATTCGCGCATGCGCTCATCCAGTCTCTCTCTTTTTCTTTCTTCTTCACTCACTCACTGTTGTTTTGTCAAACCATTACTTGCTCAGTGGTTTTGTCTGTCAGTGTGACGTGTTTTTCTGTAGGTAGTCGGTGCAAAAATTGTTATTGTTTTTAAGTTTAAACCGTGAAAAGTGAAGAACTAAATTACTCTCTTAATCCTTTGAGAAGGATTTTGCTGGAGTGTTATTTTCATAGTTTTAAGAGGTTTTCCTTTCTATTTGGTGAGTAATTTAATTGTTTTATCATTGTTGTTTTGTTGTTCCCCACAAATGACCTTTTTGTGTAATGTTCTAGATTAAAAGTAGATATTTGCATATGGTATTATGGTATAGCTTGGCAATCAATGTATATTCTAATTGGATTTTATGTGCTTTGTCTTTAGCTGTTCCCATGACCTTTTGAATGCATTTAAAAGCAAAGAAGAAGTTGTTATGCTTAAAATAAATATAAATCAAAACAAGATCGAAGGCAATAAAGACATAAAGGCATCTTATTACTAGGTTATTGTAGTTTTAAAACCAATAAGATTCTCAATGACATTGTTTCTTTGTAATATTAATAATGTATACTCACACTATGTACTAATTACTTTTTTTTTACATTTCTAATTAAATTACCTACATTTTAATTATTTTAATTAATAATTAAGTACTTTCCAACCAAACATATCATTGGTTTTCATATTAAATGATACTTTCATTCATATCATAACAATAATAAAATCGTTTTTAAGAAAATTTCAAGTACCTACAGGTATTATTATGTCTCCTAGCCTAGTACTATTAGTGTTATCTAATCCCTTCTTGTGAACATGTAGGATTGTACAGTAATTTCAATTCTTGCCTTGTAAAAAATACACTCGCGAGTAAAACTATGGAATCACTTACATGAAGTTGTTTCCACGCGATCTTGTGTACTAACGAATTTGTTAGTAACAAAAAAAGTGGCACAATTTTAAAGATTAAACTTTTACCTTTAAATTGATACCAAATTCATTTAAATCACAACAGTATTTAAAAAGATATCACGGCTGATGTGAAGAAGTAAGGAAAAAGACATGTATCAACTGTTTGATACGTCGCGAGTTGCGGCCCATTTACCCCCTATAAAAGCACGTGTTTTCGGATTTTTGCTTTCACATGTTGATCCATACACATCTCAGCTTCTTTTAACACTTTACCTGGGATTCTACACCTTCAGAAGCAGCACAAATCCTTGCACTATTGCAAACAGGGCTCAGCCAGCGGGCTGTCGCATGTCAGCTCCACATAAGACAGTCCTGGGTTTCGAAAGTTTTAAGACGCTTTCGGGAGACTAGTGGCTTTATCCCGAGACCAAGTTCTGAACAGCGCCAGTGCACATCGCAGAAGGATGACCGTTTTTTCATGTCAACCTCTCTATGAAATCGTCATTTGACTGGTATCGACGTCCAGCAAGAGCTCAGAAATGTTTGTAGGATAGCTGTTAGCGTGTGGACAGTTCGTCTAAGATATAAGCAATAGAATTTGACTCCAAAAAGGCCTGCCACAGGCTCGAAACTGACGGCAGGTCACCGATAAGCACGCTTTCAATTTGCTCGTACACATCTCGATGGGAAGTCGAGCAAGCCACCCCCATAAGCCACTGTTTCAGCGAACCAGCACTGCACAAATCGCTCCCCAGGCCGCCTATAGACCCGACCTCTTCAACTGCTGCACTGCAAACACAGTCTGCATTCATCGGAGAACAAAACTCTCTTCCATTACTCGCCTACCCATCAAAATAAGTGCGAGTTAATTGAAAGCGTGCTTGTCGGTGACCTGCCGTCAGTTTCGAGCCTGTGGCAAGCCTTTTTGGAGTCAAATTCTATTGCTTATATCTTAGACGATCTGTCCACACGCTAACAGCTATCCTACGAACATTTCTGAGCTCTTGCTGGACGTCGATACCACTCAATTGATGATTTCATAGAGAGGTTGACATGAAAAAACGGTCATCCCTCTGCGATATGCACCGGCGCTGTTCAGAACTTGGTCTCGGGATAAAGCCACCAGTCTCCCGAAAGCGTCTTAAAACTTTCGAAACCCAGGACTGGCTTACGTGGAGCTGACGTGCGACAGCCTGCTGGCTGAGCCCTTCTTTCAATAGTGCAACGATTTATGCTGCTTCTGTAGGTGTGGAATCCCAGGTAAAGTGTCAAAAAAAAGCGGAGATGTGTATGGATCAACGTGTGAAAGCAAAAATCCGAAAACACGTGTTTTTATAGGGGGTAAGTAGGCTGCAACTCGCGACATATCAAACAGTTGATACATGTCTTTTTCCTTACTTCTTCACATAAGCCGGGATATCTTTTTAAATACCGGAGTGATTTAAATGAATTTGGTATTAGTTAAAAGGTAAAAGTTTAATCTTTAAAATTGTGCCAGTTTTTTTGTTACTGACAAATTCGTTAGTACACAAGATCGCGTGTAAACAACTTCATGTAAGTGATTCCATAGTTTTGCTCGCGAGTGTAGAAATAAGTTTATCTCCCAGAGACGAAAAGAAATATTTCATTAATTCAACTGTACATAAATAGGTTGGCAACCATAGACATATAAAAAGTTTTTTAAGTCCATGTTGGCAACCAACAAAAATGTCTGACTAAGCTGCTAAACAGGCAAATATCCTCTTACCTAGTAGGTAAATATTATGTAATTTGCTATAGATGTGACTCAGCAAAATGTAATGAAAACAGCAAAAAACTCTAGTGAACTTCCATTATTTATGTCATTCAATTTTTTGTTTATAAATCTGTATTCTGTAACTATTGAATAATTTAATAGTCTGAAGTCTATGCAAATAATTATTCTGTTTTTGCTATCATCTCTTTCTACATTGGTAGGTAAATAGGACTGAAATTTCGTTAGTTCTATGCTATTGACATACTGGTAGATTTTTCTAGATCCAGTTGGTAGCCAAACAGTACGAGATTCTTACGCCCATTTTCACCTTCAATCCCTAATTTTTACAACCCCTTTGGTAACACATAACAAGAATTTTGTTTTCATAGGGGTCATTTAGAAATTAGGGATCAATTGTGAAAATGGGCATCTGGTCCACATGCGGGCTGTCCGCATTTCATTATTTAATACATGTTTTTCCTATTATGCGGGCTACACGCATGCAAATGCGAGTGATCATATTACTGTAATAGGTACGCACGCACGCCACAGATTAGAGATACCAGATCCGCACGCGTGACAAAATCCGCATCACAGGAAAAAAGCACTAGGTAATCCCTAGTCTAGTTTCAAATCTGTGAGTTTAATGCCCGTTTTCACCATCAATCCCTAATTTTTAAGTGACGCCTATGGTAACACATAACAGGAATTTTGTTTTCATAGGGGTCACTTAAAATTAAGGATGGTCCACATGCGGGCAGCATTTCATTATTCACTTACATGTTTTTCCAATTACGCGGGCTACACGCATGCAACCAGCCAGTGTTATTTTAATATGCGCCACAGATTACGAGATACCAGATCCGCACGCGTGCCGAAATCCGCATCACAGGAAAAAGGCACTAATCCCCAGGGATAATAATCGCTAGACTAGTCTAGTTTCAAGTCCATACTGTGAGTTTAAGTTGTCAATTAAGTAAGCCGAAAAGACGCGCAGTTTTCATGTGCAGCTGTCGTGGCTTTGTCAGCAGTGGGATTGTGGGAGTGTCGGCAGTGGGAAGAACCGATGTTTTGGAATCATCAGGAATATTTTTATTATTCTTGGCCTTAAATTAAAGATTTGCTTTCTTAGTGCGTAGACAGTGGCGCAGTAGACTTGCGTCGATGGCGCTTCAATACTTTCGGTCTTATTTCGTTTCATGTTTTAGTAATGCAATGAAAAAAACAGAAAAATTTTGTGAAGAACTTGCTACGTAGGTACTTGCGTGATGCTGTCGTTTAAAGCGATTATATTTATTTTCTGTAGGTAAGTTGTTTCTTTTGAAACATGTTGCGAAAAGTCCTTGAATTATATCAGCTTGTTGGCTGTTCTACACGAGTGCAACTTTTATTTTATTCCTTTATTTTACAAAATAAAAAACATGCTGGTGTTGTCATCTCGACATTAATTAGCGTAAAGTACCTAAGCACGTAAAACAATCAATTGTCTATTGAACCATCCTTTCCAGATAAATACCCTCATCAATCTATCTTCTTCTAAATAAAAAAGTATTGCTGTGCGTTAGTCTCGCCAAAACTCGAGAATGGCTGGACCAATTTGGCTGATTTTGGTTTTTATAGTTTTTAAATAATTGTTGTAGTCCAGTAAAGGTTTAAACGGTGAGAAATCATGGGAAAAATTACAATTTGATTTCCACGCGTACAGTCGCGGGAATAAATAAATAAATATTAAAATAGATGCAAGACTTGGTTGAAGTTAGTGAAGACATTTGTATGAAAATATCAGTGGTTCGATATTTGTGCGCTACCTGTATTAGGCTTGCAAATTTAATTTAACCGTCCGCGTTTTTTCATCGCCAACTTTTCCGCAAACGAGTTCGTAACTTGTAACATAACGTTTTACTACCGCATAGTAACCGGTGGATTCCGTATTTGTTATCAAACCATATTTACGTTATAGCTAATTAATTTCTTTGGCTTTGAATGAATATAGCGACGTCATATCAAGTCTATCTTAGAAGTTTTTAAGTGGATTATTTTTAGTTGATTAAAAAACCTGCAATAATCCGTTGTATCGTAAAATTACTTTAACAATTAAATAATTAATTATTTACTAATTATTTTTTACTTTTTTATATAAATATTAGTCGTAAAAAGTTAAGTAACGACTCGTGGTTATAAGACAGTAAAGACAAAGTAACTTTCTTAACAATTTAAGTTAATAATTGGTGGCAGCAAAAAATTATGAATTAAGATAAACGCTTTTACTGTTATGATTACAATGGTTTCGTTAATTTTGCGCGATCTTCTGTAATTTCTTTATTAACTTAAATTAAATAGTGTGGCCAGAAGTTTGTTTTTTCTGGGACAGACTTCTTTTGTAACCTTATAAATTGTTCTATTCCACTTTGATCACCCAGGTGATCAAAGTAGACTATAGGCGACACTTTGGTGTCCTTTGATCACTCATGGATAAGTTCACCTAGGTGATTAAAATGGACTGCTTATCCGTGGGGGTGATCCATGGAGTGTCGCCTGGTGATCAAAACCTGTTCAACAAAAACCATTATCGTATTGTT